GAGTCCCTGGCGTCAGGATTCTCAAAGAAGCCCTCCATTAAACATAGCTGTATGGACATAGGCTCTGGGTGGCAGCAGGAATCAAGGAGTCGTAAGAAAGGGACTCAGCCCCGTGGATTGCCAGGCTAAGCAGAAGGCCTATGCTTTGGAGTAACACCTGTGTTCATTCAGCAACTACAGGGCACCTACTATGTGTGTGAGGGCCTGTGGAGGGCCTACTACGTGAGGCATTGGGCTTGCTCAGCGTTCTTTGGCTGGGTGATCTTAGCAAGGCATTGTTACCAAGCTTGCTTCTTCACCCAGGGGGCTTACAGACCGTGATTTCCAGAGTGAGCCGGCTTGGGGGGGATAGGGATAGGAGGTGTGATCCTTCCCTTCAAGGACGGGGGGCGGGGGGTGGGGGGCAGTGCACATGTCCCATCCCAAACCTGAGTCTAGACCCCACTGGTCGCTAGGCAACCCTGGTAGTGAATGATGCGTGTCAGCTGTCACTGTGGGGGATTGTTTGTTCCGGGGGGGGGGGGGGGGGGGGACGCTGAGTCAGCGCCAGGCAGCCTGGGGGGTGGGAGGCCCGACACCCGCTGCACGCTGGTGGTGCCAGCGCACGCTGGTGGTGCCAGCTCGGGGGCAGACAGACGGCACCCTTCCGCTCCCTGCTGGACCCTGTTGCTGTGCCTAGCAGGCAGGCAGCTGCCCAGATCAATGAGGAGTTGGGGGAGGGGCTCCAGATGGCCCCAGCTCCCTCCAGGAAGCCCATGTTCTTTCCCTCTTACCCGTCTGGGGTCCGGGATGCTTGGGGGTGGGGGGCCTGCTGCCTCATCCGAGGGCTGGAGCTGAAGGGGAGGACCCCAGCAGGCTCCTTCTATTCCACCTCCTCCAGGTCATTTGCTAGCGCCTCCCCTGCCCTTGTTCAACCCTTTCATTGGCCCTTCAAACACCTGCTTCTTCAGGGACCCCCCCCACCTGTGAGGACACTGTCCTCCAGACACGCACAATGGGGGCACCTTGGGCGCCTCTGCCTTCACCTCTCTACCAAGTATGCCCCTTTGGAGCCTGGCTTGAGAGTTCTAGACTACATCTGCTACCGCCCTCCTCACTCAACCACCGTGAACTCCTCCCCGCACTCTCCTGCAGTCCTCCACTATGCTAGCCTGAGTATGACAAAGCAGTTAGTACTCCTAACTGAGGGCTACAGTCCTGCTTACCACCAAGTGTGCGGCCTCTGTCTCAGCTTGCTCATCTGCAAAACAGAAATGAAAATAACCTAGGCGCCCGTGGCTCACACCTGTAATTCTAGCTACTTCTGGAGGCTGGGATCTGAAAATCATGGTTCAAAGCCAGTCCAGACAGGAAATTCCATGAAACTCGTCTCTAATTAACCAGCAAAAGGCCAGAAATGGAGCTGAAACTCAAGTGGTAGAGCACCGGCCTTAAGGTGAAAAAGTTAAGGGACAGCATCTAGGCCCTGAGCTCAAGCCCCAGCACTGGCACAGGCACACACACACCAAAGAAATGAAAATAATACTAGCAATAGCAACTAAGTCCTTAGGTTGTTGCAAGCATCCATGAACTTAATAAAGCCCACTGGGTGGATGTCTTCCTTTGTTTGTCACCTTAAAAGAGGCTAAGACTTGACCTAACAAACCCTGCTTTGCTGTCTCACAGCTCTCAATGGTTCCCCATTATTATTTTTGTCAGCATGGGGCTTGAACTCAGGGCCTGGGTGCTGTGCTGTCCCCTGAGCTCTTTTTTGCTCAAGGCTAGCTAGAGCTCTACCACTATGAGTCACAGCTCCACATCCAGTTCTCTGGGAGTTAATTAGAGGTAAGAGTTTCATGAACTTTTCCTGCCCAGGCTGGCTTTGATCCATGATTCTCAAATCTCAGCCTGCAGAGTAGCTAGGATGACAGGCATGAGCCACCAGTGCTCGGCTTCCCATTACTTTTGTGTTAAGGTCTAAGCACTGGGTCTGCTGGTATTGCCAACCCCACCTTGAGTTGTCTTTCCCAGTCTCCTCACACCCAAACTCCATGAACACACAGCTTCCTGAATGTTCTTTCAGTCCTTGTGCCTTTGTATCTGCTGTTCCTACTGCTTAGACTAATTTCCTTCCATTGTTCACCAAACACCTACTCAAAGTCAGTTTGAACCCTTCCACTCCGGAAAGGGGTCTGCCTGTACCCCACAGCCCCGATCACCTGGAATGTAGTTCTGAGTTCTCCTCCCCCAATCCTGACGGGAAATATGTCCCCAGCCTCTAGGGAGGTAAGTCTCCAGTACTCAGCACAGGGCCAAGTGGAGAGGAGACCGTGTCTTGGGCTGTGTAGGAAATTAATAGAGCAGGCATGGTCCAAAACTAGGCACTAGGACGCCAAGATTCCATTCTAGACTGTTGAGTGACCTTGGCCCAGGCTCTGCCCCTCCCTGGGCTTCATTTTTTCCACTTTGCAACAAGCTCCATTTGACCCCACATATAAAGGACTGGTACTGGAAGCCATCAGCTCCCACTCCCACCCTGATGGGTATACACCCCTTCCCCAGATCATAGCCTTTGATGAGCTGCGGACCGACTTCAAGAACCCCATCGACCAGGGGAACCCAGCGCGGGCAGTAAGTGATACATGTGCTGTGCAGAGGTGTGTCCGTCCGTCTGTCTTTCCATCTGTGGCGGGAAGGGTGGGAATGGGGTTGAGGAAGGCAGGGGGGTGGTTTGCCATGTGGGGGTCTGATGGCCCAGCCCGTTACCCTCTGTCCCCGCCCCCCAGTAAACACCTGGCTCGGGCTCTGGGCTTGGGTTCCTCCTGATGGGGCGGCCGTTGCCAGGCTCTAGGCCGTTGCCATAGAGACGCGGGTGAAGGCCCCTCCATGGCGACGGTCGCCATGGGGACAGCGCGGCTGCTTCCCTGCAGAGAATGCTCTGGCGCCCTCTGGCGGCTACGTGGGGGCGGTGGAGGTGCCCAGCGCCTGGTCCTCCGCCACTCCCATCATGGCCCTTTCCTTCCCCCACAGCGCGAGCGTTTAAAAAACATCGAACGCATCTGCTGCCTCCTGAGGAAGGTCAGTGTGAGGGAGGGGGGCAAGAGGCTCCCAGCCCGCACTGCGCCCACACCGTGGACCACAGCCTCTTCTTTGGGGACTGTTTGATCACCCTGCCACCTGGGAGGTCATGGGAGGCCAGAGGCTTTTCAGTCCTGAGTTCCTGCTGGGCTGGTCACCGCCCCACCCTCACCCCAAAATCCCAGTTCCCCTCTGGTATTGAAGCCTTGGTCTGCCCTGGCCCCTGACTGCTGACTTTTCCCCTTCATTCCCCCAGCTGGTGGTCCCAGAATACTCCATCCATGGCCTCTTCTGTCTGATGTTTCTGTGTGCAGCAGAGTGGGTGACCCTAGGCCTCAACATCCCCCTCCTCTTCTACCACCTCTGGAGGTGAGGGCAGCAGATGCTTGGGGAGACAGATGGAGGTGGGGGGCAGGAAGAAGGCCAGTCTGCAGAGGCCTGTGGGCACTCAGGCCTTCTCCCCGCCCTCCAGGTACTTCCACCGTCCCGCGGATGGCTCTGAGGTCATGTATGACGCGGTCTCCATCATGAATGCTGACATCCTCAACTACTGCCAGAAGGAGTCCTGGTGCAAACTCGCCTTCTACCTGCTCTCCTTCTTCTATTACCTGTACAGGTGAGGCTCCAGCCTCCAGCCAGGCCAGGGGTGTCTCAATCCCTGGAGAACTGAGGACGGCCAGGGTGTGGGTGGGAGGCTGGCCATGCTTGCAGGCTCAGGCTCACTGCTTTGTCTTTCCACAGTATGGTTTATACGTTGGTGAGTTTCTAAGGGGGAAGCCGGCCAGGGAGCGAGCCCAGAACGGACCGGACGCCTGTGCACCCCCAGCCCTGCCCCTGGCCACAGAGGCCTCAGCCCCGGGGACTGAGGGGCACTGGTGCCTCCAGCTTCCCCATCCCCCAAACTGCTGCTGCGGGGACCCCCCCGCCTTCAGATCCTTTCCCCTCAGACTAGGGCCAGGCGGAGCTCTCAACAGGGGCAGGGCTTCTCTGCCAGCCCTCATTCAGGCATGGCAGTCAGTCCTGGAAGGAGTGGGACTTCCGGCCTTGTTCATTTCAGGGGAAACTTGGGCTCTGCCACCAAAGCGGAGCTTGACCCTGGAAATTCTGGGCTGCCCCTAACTATCAATCCCTCCCCTGAGGCTCTCCCTACAGGTGGGGGAGCATCTGCACTGGGAATGAGCAGGCTCAACAGGGGGCAGCCCCACCCCTAGTCTGCCCCCCCCCCCAGGCTCTCTCTAGCTCCTCGTCTCTACTTGCCCCAACCCCAACCCACCGTCTCTTGGACCCATTTTCTATGTTGCCTGGAGGAGTCCGGCACCCCTTCCCCGGCCATTTGTGACAAAATATGAATAAACTACTGCAAACACATGGGCGCAGCTCTGTGGGGGGCAGCTGGACAAAAACGTGGGTGAGACAGCAGACTGCGGCGGGAAGAGCCCAAGCTAAATCCCCAGCGTAGCCACCCTGTCTTCCCAGGTTGCCTTATAAGTTGGCAAGTCTCTGAGGAGGAAGCTGGCCGCAACAGGGCTCGGAACAGGCTGTGAAATGCTTCTATTTGGCTTTTTTTTTTTTCTGTTGGTTGTGGGGCTTGAACTCTGGGCCTGGGCGCTGTCCCTCAGCTCTTCAGCTCAAGGCTAGTGTTCTACTACTTGAGCCACAGCACCACTTTTGTTTTTTTGGCGATGAGTCTCATGGCCTTTCCTGCCTGGGCTGGCTTTGAACTGAGATCCTAAGATCCTGAGTAGCTAGGATTATAGGCGTGAACCACCAGCTCCCTGCTCCATTTGCCTTTCAAGGCAATATCAAGGTCACCATCTCCAGGAAGTCCTCCCCAGGCCCACTTTCCTCCTGGATGTCTCCAAACCAGATGCTCTGAGCAATGCACAGCCTCAGAGGTGTCTCCAACCCCCGCCACAGGCCCCAGGAAAAAGAGTCCAAACAAGTCAAGGAAACCAAATCCAAATCTTCAATGTATAGAAAAATCAGTGCTATCTGGGGCCAAGGGTCACCGGACCAATTGGAAAGTCAGCCAGTATATGATGAGGGGCTGAAAGGCTGCGGCTCCCAGTGTCAGGTAGAGTTGGAGACGTTGCCGAGGGGCTGGGCCCCCCATGTCATCAGAGCCCAGGGCTGCTGTCCGCAAGGAGCGCACCTAGAAGAAAGGAGCTCTGAGGCTGGGGGGAGGGAGGGAGGGATGGGGAGGCCTTGTCCAGTTCCGCCCCCGGTGAGGTGGGAGGGGCAGCCCAGACTCACGATGAAGTACATGAGCGCAGAGGAGGTCCAGGCCAGGGCCACATAGTAGCCATCACTGCCGAACAGCAGCCCCGTGAGCACACTGAGGATCATCCTGTGAGAGGAGGGTCAGGCTGGTGAGCCCAGGGCCCAGGCCTCAGGACACCCCCGCCTTCCGGGGTCTGGGGCCAGCCTCCATGCCACCCATGGCCATGGCCCTTTTCTCCCTAGCTGTCCCCAGAGGTACAAAGCCAGGACTCAACCCCAGGACAGCGATTTCTCCTCGGGTGACTGTCACACGTCCACAATCTCCCGAAGGTCACAGAGACTGCTGGAAACAACCAACCCTCTAACAGTAGCGCTAGAGGCTGAGGTGGGAGGTGGCGGGGGAGGAGAGAGGCTGCAGGATAGCAGGGCCTGCCCCCGTACCCACGAGCACTCACCCCACATATTTGTACCCACTGTAGGCCAGCAGGTGGAAGGTGCTCAGGTCGCTGCGCACAGTGGCCAGGTAGAGGCCCAGGAGCAAGGCCAGCACCTCCATGACCATCCACACCAGCGCTGTGCTGGCAAACAGGCCCAGCACCTCGGGTGAGAACCTGCGGTGGTGAGAGGACGGGTCAGAACCAGCCATCCCGCGGCCGGGAGAGGCGAGGGCAGGCAGCGGCGAGGGCAGGCAGCGGCGAGGGCAGGCAGCGGCGCCAACGGAGCTTGCCCTGGATTCCCTAGGGACGTGAGGAGCTAAAAGCAGGAGGGAGTGAACAGGGAGGTACTGACCTTTTCTGAATGCCCAGTGCCATTCCAGCCAGCAGTACATAGGTGATGAAGGCCATTGCTGCCAAGAGTCACAGGGAGATAATCAGCCTGGCTTCCCCTTGCCAGGCAATCAGGGCCACTGACACCCCAGCTACCCCTGGACTTCCCTCCCCGCATAGTTCCAACATAGGCCTAACTTCTACACTCTGCTCCCAAGGACCTTGCCTGGGATATACGAACCCTATCTGTCCTCTCTGACTACATGCCACCTGATCCATTGTCCAAGACTACTAGCTGCCTCAGCCCACCCCGCCCTCTGCCCCTGTGCTAGGAACCTTATCAGAGCTGCCTGCCTGGTCTCAGAAACTGCACCGTGAGCCAAGGCCATTGCTCATCCTACACAGGAACCAACCTGATTGCTAACAAGACTAGGACAAAAACAAAAAAAGTTCAGCGGACAAGCCAGAGTCCAGAACTCTGGAGCTGATGTCCCCGAAGCCAGCAACTCTAAATCTGGCCACACTGGCTATGGTGAACTCCAAGTTTAAGTAGTTTTCATAAGCTCAGTACCAGTGGGAGCTGGACTGCAGCAGGGATTTAATCCCTCCAACCCCCCCCCCCCACACACACACACACACACACGTCACACACCTGTGAAACAGACTGATGCATCTACCAGAGGGCACAGTGTCTAAAATGTGGCTTAGTGGCAGAGTGCTTGCCTAGCCTATATGAAACCCTGGGTTCGATTCCTCAGTATCACATACACAGAAAAAGCCAGAAGTGGCTCTGTGGCTCAAGTGGTACAGTGCTAGCCTCGAGCAAAAGAAGCTCATGGACTGGCCAAAAAAAAAAAAAAAAAAATCAGGAAGCTGACTCTGCCACCTGTTAGCTATGTTAGTGAAGTCTCAAACTTGGCTTCAACATACAGCATGGGAAAGCCAGGACCATCCTCACACAGTGGCTACAAAGGGCTCATGAATGAGTGATGGAAGAACCTGGGCAGACCACCCTCCCTGGCAGCCTCCCTGAGGCTGGAGAGAGGTGCCACAGCAGTAGGATGTGGGGGTAACAAAGCAGGCCTCACAAGACAGACCCTAACAAGGCCAGCAGCTTCCTGTGCTAGGACACCCATCACCTCCCTGTGATTCCTACCTTAATGAAGTATGCAAGAACCAACCTAAAGTGCCCCAGCTGAAGAGGTAGCAAGGTAAAGAAGAACTTGGTCCAAATAAGGTCACAAAAGAATGATGTAGGGACACTGAAGGTACATTCAGGAAGTTTTCTTTCTTTTATTGGTGATTTGGTCTGCCTGGTGTCTAACAACCAGTGCACATGAAAAGCACCAGGTCTATTTGGATCCACCATGGAGTCTCTTCCTGATCATGCCTCAAGGCAAAGGTCCCCTCCCAACAACCACCCCCCACAATGTCCCCATCCCAGACCAGGGACTCACTAGGAATATAGAGATCAGGGGCATTGAGGTCTTGCCGCGGAGGCAGAGGCATGTCTCGACTGTACTGCACTTCCCAGTTCTGGCAGTAGCAGAGGTGGCCAGGTTAGCAGGAACAGAGGAGGGAAAAAGGAGAGAAAAGAGGTTGAGGTCTGGGTGCTAGGATATGAGTGGGAAAAGGGACAAGGGAGACCTGTCAGCTCACCTCACCTGACAGGAAGCTCACCTGGTGTGTGTAAGGGAAGACCAGTAACCCTAGCTTCTTGGCCACATAGGCTGTGTCCACGGCGAAAAAATACTTGAGTTTGTTCACAGACACAAAACGGTGCAGCTGGAAGGGAAAAGAGGAGGCTGGGGGCAAGCTGCATGCACAGTGTCAAGATACTCCTCCAGGTGCTCCCTCCCTGAGGGCTAACAGGAGAATCAGGTGGAATTCCCTGATACCCCAGCCCTAGCCAGAAACCCTGCCACCCTTTCCCTGGGGGCAGACCACACCTCCTTGTGCACCATGTCCTTCCCATGGGATGCAATGGAACTGCCGTAAGCCACAGCCATGTTAGCCATTGGATCCCCGAGCAAGTGGTTGACATTGAATGCCACATCGGCTCTTGGGGCTGGATATCCCCCTAGCTGGTTGGAATAACCACCACTTGTGTCATCAAAGAGAGGAGGAGGATCTGGAGCTGTTCGGGCTCTGTGCTTGGAACCTGTGAATGTAGAGGTATCAAGGTAATGACAGAAATACCCAACAACCGCACAAACCACTTCTTTTCCTGGAAAAGCAGCTATGCATAGGTTCTGGGCCTACCAAACGATCAGTGAAGGAAAGCCAGGCTGGAAGAGGGGCAATCTTCTTTCCAGAAATCCTTTATGATATGCAGACAAAAGAAGGGCTGCCTATCTGGGGTTCCTGGGTGGCCTCTCAAGGGGGACTGATCTCTAAGCCGAACTGTGGAGAGTGAGTAGTTCGCTAAGTGGAAATAATTAGAAATGTGTCCCTGCTTAAACAAGGGTAAGAAAGACGACAGCTGGCTACTGGAGGCCTTGAGCAGGGTCTGGGTCGCTGCCAGGGTCGCGACAGGGGGAAGGCAGCTCTGGAGATGAGAGCCGTTCGTGCCCAGGTTAGACACGGAGCTGTCTATCTCGGTTCTGGTCAGGAAGGGCGAAGTCCGAGACGCGTGGCAGCTTCGCGGGGCCAGAGCCCGAGTGACAACCCCGCCCTGGACAGCGGCCACGGTCGCCCCTCTCCAGCCGGGTGGGAGAACCGCGCCGCCGACTCTGGTCCCACAGGCCGCGCCGCACCCCGTCCACCCCGCACCTCACGCACCGTGGGCTCCGTAGCCCGAGTGGTAAGCCATGGTCGCGACGCTCACTCTCCCCAAGAGCCGCTGCGCTGCCTCGTGAGTGCAGATACTAATCAGACGGCCGCTCCTCTCCCCGCGCACGGATCGAAGTTACCGGGCAGCCCGACACGTCCCCCGGCTGGCCGGTTGTGGCCGCCATGTCCGCGACGTCATCCTCTGCCGCCTGCCATTGGCTTTCCCGCGGCAACGGTTCAGCCTTTCCCTCTTCTAATTGGCTAATGGCGAGCTCTCGCCAACGCGGATTCGACAGTCGCAACTTCCGGAAGGCGAAGAGGCGGAGCTATTCAAACTGATCTCTGATTGGATGAGGAATGTGCTCATTCGAGGCAGGGGCAGCTGATAGGTGGGACGGTGTTGGGAGTTATTTCCGTGTCTGCGCAGTGGGCCACTTGACTCTCGCCCTGCCACGACTACAGCAAAAGACTCGGCGAGAGCACTGAGAGCTGCAGAGTGAACCAGACTCGGCGCTTCGGTCGTGGGATGTCCTTCCAGAGGAGTGGGGCGTTCAGGCTGTCCAATCCGCGCTTTCGGGGCTCCTGGCCCTTCCTCTCCCTCCTCCCATTTCCTCTCTCGTCTCCCATTTCACCCAATCCTGGGGCGGAGTCGCGGCCCACCAGGGACCCCTAGCGGGAGCCGGGCGGGCCGTGACCGCGCGGCCCCGAGTTCTCCGAACGCTGACTCCGCCCCCCGCCTCTGCCTCCTGGCGAAGCGGGTGCTGTCCGCTTTTTCGGGTGCTGAAAATGTCCAGTATCCGCCCACGTCCTGCAGACCCGCGCGCGGGGCCCGTGCGGGAGGGACTGGGGTCGCCATACTGGCCAGCGCGTGCAGACCCAGAAGATCCCAAGTGCTGAGTGGTATACATGGGGCAGGATCTTGCACCGTGGCTTTCCTGTCGACTCTCTGGCGGTCCAGCCGGTTTAGAGCCTGATGCATCTCCTGAAACCGCAGCCGTAACTAACTGCTGCGTCACCGCTGGTCCAGTGATCTTCCCGAAATGAAGCCCCCAGCCTCACTCCTAATCCCAGGCTTCCTTTTCCTCCATCCAGGTTCTAGTCAGAACCATTTCTCACCTTCCACCTTACCCCCCAGAATCTGTCTTCAAGGCTCCCTCGCAAAGACCTTCAGGTGCTACTTTCTAGAGCGCACTTTAGGTCTTCACAGGCCTCTCAGAGACCACTTCAAGTGATCGTCCTGTTCCCCAGGTCCTTCCTGCTTCCTATTCCTCACACTTTGAGCACATGACCCGACCACTGTGCCTTTGAGAGTTCCCTCTGCTTGGAATGACCTCCCCCTCTAGTCACTATTCTAAAGCTAGACCAACTGGTCTCAGGTCAAGTCTGTAATCCTAGTTACTCAAAAGGCTGAGATTTGAGGATTATGGTTCAAAGCCAGCCCAAATAGGAAAGTCTCTTATCTCCAATTAACTAGAGATAAGAAAGTCTTAGCTCCAATTAAAGAACAAAAAGCCAGAAATGGAGCTGTGGCTTCAGTGGTAGCATTTGCCTTGAGCAGAAAAGGCTAAGGGACAGGACCCATGCCCTGAGCCCCAGTTCTAGCACAAAATAAATTTTTGCTTATAAGGAATTTTTTTGTTTTTAAAATTGTTACTATAAAGGTGATGTACACTCCCCCATCGTATAAGCCCTGCTTTCACTGTATTTGATGTTGATATAATTTGTGGAGGGGAAGGGAAAAAACAAATTGTTTAAATTGGGTTGCAGGTGGACCCATTACAACAATGAGATGTACAAGAAGTTATGTCAGGGCTAGGAAGGTGGCTCAGTGGTAGAGCGCTTGCCTTGCATGCTCAAGGCCCTGGGTTCGATTCCTCAGCACCACATAAGCAAAAAGAAAAAAGCCAGAAGCGGCGCTGTGGTTCAAGTGGTAGAGCACTAGCCTTGAGCTGAAGAGCTGAGGGACAGCGCCCAGGCCCAGAGTTCAGGCCCCACGACTGGAAAAAAAAAAATTAAAAAAAGAAGTTATGTCAAGGGCTAGGAAGGTGGCTCAGTGGTAGAGCACTTGCCTTGCATGCATGAGGCCCTGGGTTCGATTCCTCAGCACCACATAAGCAAAAAGAAAAAAGCCAGAAATGGCACTGTGGCTCAAGTGGTAGAACACTAGCCTTGAGCTGAAGAGCTGAGGGACAGCGCCCAGGCCCAGAGTTCAGGCTCCACGACCGGACCCCCCACCCCCCAAAAAAAGAAGTTATGTCAAAAAATGAACTTGGGGGGGGTGGAGAGGGGAAGGGATGGTAGGGGAAACAAAGGAGGCAACAATGCTTGATAAGAAATGTACTCACGGGCTGGGAAGGTGGCTCAGTGGTAGAGCGCTTGCCTTGCATGCTCAAGGCCCTGGGTTCGATTCCTCAGCATCACATAAGCAAAAAGAAAAAAGCTAGAAGTGGCACTGTGGCTCAAGTGGTAGAGCACTAGCCTTGAGCTGAAGAGCTGAGGGACAGCACCCAGGCCCAGAGTTCAGGCCCGAGGACCAGACCCCCCACCCAAAAAAAAAAGAAAAGAAATGTACTCACTATCTTGCCCATGTAATTGTAACCCCACTGTATGGTATTTTCACAATTAAAAAAAAGAAATATTTTAAGTCAAAAAAAAAATAAAAGTGGGGCTGGGAGGGTGGCTCAGTGGTAGAGTGCTTGCCTTGCATGCCTGAGGCACTGGGTTCGATTCCCCAGCACCACATAAGCAATAAGAAAAAAGCCAGAAGTGGCACTGTGGCTCAAGTGGTAGAGCGCTAGCCTTGACCTGAAGAGCTGAGGGACAGCGCCCAGACCCAGAGTTCAGGCCCCATGACCAGACCCAAAAAATAAAATAAAATAAAATAAAGGTGCTATACAGCCAGACACTGGTGGCTCATGCCTGTAATCCTAGCTACTCAGGAGGCTGAGATCTGAGGATAGTGGTTCGAAGCCAGCCTGGTCAGGAAAGACTGAGACTCTTACCTATATAAACCACTCAGAAAACGGGAAATGGCACTATGGCTCAAGTGGTAGAGTGCTCACCTTGAGCTAAAGAGCTCAGGGACAGCATCCAGGCCCAAAGTTCAAGCCCCACAAACAATAAAAGATGTACAGAGAGCTTATAGTTGCATAAGTAAAGAGTGCATTTCTTTTGGACAATATCACCCCTTCCCTCACTCTTCTCCCAGTTTTTTGCTCCCATCCCCACCCATAAGTTGTATAGTTCATTTTCTTTTTTCTTTTGCCTGTCCTGGGGCTTGAACTCAGGGCCTGGGCACCATCCCTGAGCTTCTTTTGCTCAAGGCTAGCACTCTACCATTTGAGCCATAGCACCTCTTCTGGCTTCTTCTGTGTATGTGGTACTGAGGAATTGAACCCAGGGCTTCATGCATACAAGGGAAGCAATCTTCCATTAAGCCACATTCCCAGCCCTACTATATATAGTTCATTTTCAACATAATGTCTAGTGAGTACCACTGCTGCATTTGTTCACCCACCATCCTTCTATTTCTGTGACCCCCCCTTGCCCTCCCAAAGACAGATAAACAAAAAGAAAAACAAAACAAACAAAAACAATGAAGAAAATCCCTCTTATTTCCATTTCCTGGAGTTCATTTCAATTTTGTTTTCCTGTCCTCGGGCTAGAACTCAGGGCCTGGGTGCTGTTCCTGAGCGTCCTTTTTTATTTTTTGGTCGGTCCTGAGGCTTGAACTCTGGGCTTGGGCGCTGTCCCTGCGCTCTTCACTCAAGGCAAGCGCTCTACCACTTGAGCCACAGCACCACTTCCGGTTTTCTAGTGGTTTATTGGAGATAAGAGTCTCATTTCCTGGCAGGCTGGCTTTGAACTGTGGTCCTCAGATCTCAGCCTCCTGAGTAGCTAGGATTACAGGCTTGAGCCACCGGCGACCGGCTTGTCCCTGAGCTTCTTTTGCTCAAGGATAGCACTCTACCACTTGAGCCACAGCTTTTTTTTTTTTTTTTAAGAGTCAGTTCTCAGATTAATAAAAGGAGCATTCCTGGTGCTGGTGGCTCACTTCTGTAATCCTAGCTAGTCAAGAAACACTGAGATCTGAAGATCCTGATTGGAAGCCAGCCCAGGCAGGAAAGTCTGAGACTCTTATTGCCAATTAAATCACAGAAAAAGCTGGAAGTGGCGCTGTGGCTCAAATGGTAGAATGCCAGCCTTGAGCAAAAGGAGCTCAGCGACAGCGCCCAGGCCCAGAAGCAGCAAACAAACGAACAAAGAGTGGCGTCTTGGGCCTAACTTGACGGGGTGGCAAGTACAGCCTGGACTCTAACCAGATAAAACACAGGGCCCATATGTTTTCCCAGTGCCAACCACAGTAGTTACATAGTGAAGACACTCAATAAGTCAAAACAAATAACAGACGAAACCCAGGGCCGGTGCTGTCCTCTCTGTAACTGTTATACCATATTAAACCAAACGGTCTTTGAGTTGCCTTTTGGGATAAAACCCAGACCCAGGTCCAAGGAGGGGTCGGTCCTGGAGCCTTGGGTTCCTTGGAGAGGACTCATCCACGCTGGTCAGATCCCGTTCTCCTGCGCGGCCTTCCTGGGTTTGAGAACTGAACCCAACAGCTTTGTCCATCACCAGCTCTCAGATGGAAACACCGAGTTGGGGGTAAGGGTCAAAGGTTATGCAGAGTTGGATGCCCCCTGTGTCCTGGCCCCCGCCTGCCTTCCCTCGGCGAGCCCAACGCCGGTGCTCGGGGTAGGGCGCGGGGCTGGGGGGGCTGGCTCTGGGCCCAGCCCTTAGAGATGGGGCCGGGCCGGCGCCGCCCACCTGGGCGTTCACCCTGTGGCACCGCGGGAAGACCCGGGCGCCGAGGAGCCAGGACTCGCCCAAGGGCGCAGGGGCGAGGGCGGCGGGGGGATCGCCTCGGCGTCCCGCGGGCGGCCGGGGCCGAGCGCTCCGGGGCGGGGCCCCCGCCGTGCCAGGCGCGGCCGGCGGCGCCGCCGGTGCCGCGGGGGCGGGGTCAGCGGAGGGCGGGGCGCCGGGCACCGCGGCCGCCAACGCCGCCGCCGCGCCGGGGCTGGGGCTGGGCGCACTCCTCCGCGGCCGCCGAGCCGAGCGGACGCCCTTCGGGGCCGCGCCGCAGCCCTCCGCGTCCCCCCCCTATCATGCCCCGGGCCCGGGCCGGGGCCGTCCGAGCAGC